CTGTCTGATTTCTGCCTGATTTCTGCCTGATCTGCCTGATTTCTGTCTGATTTCTGTCTGATTTCTGCCTGATTTCTGCCTGATCTGCCTGATTTCTGCCTGATTTCTGCCTGATCTGCCTGAACCAGTCTTCTTTCCGTCTGCTGATTTCCGCCTGCCATGCTTATCCCCCCCGACAACTTCGGCATGGTCGAGCCCGGCGTCTACCGCTGCTCCAAGCTCGAGGCAGACCACCTCCCGTTCCTCGAGACGCTCCGGCTCAAGCTGTTGGTGCTTCTAGACGTGGCCAAGCCGCCGCGCATGCTCAAACCGTTTCTTCAGGAGAACCACGTGGACTTGTACGACTTGGGCGGGCTCAAGATCCTGAACCACCAGAACACAGGGCCCGTCCTCCACGACCGCGACAGGCTTGTTGCGGAAGTGGATCCCAGAGTGGAGAATGTGGATAAAAAACTGGATACCCACGTGGATATCAGAGTGGATAACAAAGTGGATCCCAAAGTGGATACTAAAGTGGGGAACAAACTAGAAAGCAAACTAGAAAGCAAACTAGAAAGCAAACTAGAAAGCAAACTAGAAAGCAAACTAGAAAGCAAACTAGAAAGCAAACTAGAAAGCAAACTGGACAACAAACTAGATAACAAACCAGAAAACAAAGTGGCTACCAAAGCGGATCCCAAAGCGGATCCCAAAGTGGATACCAACCTGGAATTGCCCAACACACTGGCGCTGCCCAGCACGCCCCCCGCCGGCCGGCCCCGCCAACCGGCCGCCGACCCTGACGTGGTGCACGTGCCCCCCGCGTTGCCGCAAAAACACGATCTGTGGATGATCATCGAGAAAAACGTGATTGCCGCCGCGTGCGCCATCTTGCTCGACCGCACCAAGCACGCCGTGCTCGTGGTGGACTCCACGCTGGCGCTCGTGGGCATCTTGCGCAAGCTCCAGAAGTGGAACTTCAACTCCATCGTCAACGAGTACCGCATCTACACGGGCAACGCCAGCAAAATCAGCTACGGCGTGGAGGTGTTCCTCGAGCTCCTCCAGCTCGAGCTCGTGCCCGACGAGATCGACCGCCTCGCGCGCCGCCACGAGCCCACGTCCCCGCCGCGCCCGGGCCCCGCCGCCGCGGACCCGGGCCCCGCCCTGCGCCGGCCCCTGGCGCCGTGGTGGCTG